TCAGCTCTGGGCAGGCTCTGTTGGATGAACAAGGAGGATTTGGGTTTCTCCCGAGGGAGAAAAGGCTCAGCTCACCCCACAGCGTTTCCAGACTGAACGTGGGAGGACAAACACGACCATCAGGGTGACCCAGGGGGGCAGAGCGGGAGGGGGGCTCCTGGGCAGGGGTGAAGAGGAGCAGACACAGAGGTTGGGTGGGAGATGAGCAGCCAGAGGAGCCCCGGGTGGGGCTGGGAGGGATCAAGGGGACGTGGGTGTGTCTGGGGGAGGAAGGAGAACATCTTGTCACTTCAGGAACTGCAGCCCCCGGCTCCCCAGCCCACGGGGCAGCGTGAATGCCATCAGTCATCCCACCACTGCATCCACTCAAAATAGCACCCAGGGAGGAGGAGAGGGAGGTGGAGAGCAGGAGCAGAGCCCCCTTCCTCCTGAGGGGAGGGAGCCCCTGGCTGGGGGGTGGATTTCACCCGGGGGACAAAGAGCTGCATGTGGGGGTGGTGGCTTTGATCCAAGCCTGGACCCCCCAGGCCCTGCATGCCCCAGGACCAGCTCCAGGAGCAGGGATCATCATGGCCATGCTGGAGGGGAAAACACCTGGGCCACTGGGTGCCAGCCAGCAGAGTGCTGGAGCCCAGAGATGTGACCTTGAGGGCTGAGACTGCCCCGAGCTGCCCTCACTCCAGGGAACAGCAGGAGCAGGGGACAGGAGGGGGAAGACCTGCAATGGGATCATCCCAAAATCACTTCAGCCTCCACAGTGCCTCTTGGATACAAGCCCCATCTGCCCCTGTCGGGGCAGTCCCACAGCCTTGGGGTTTCTTGTTGAAGGACACAGGGTGTGGGGTCACCCAGGGAGCATCACCCAGCCTGGGCACTGTTGGAGCCTGTGGAGAACAACCCCTGTGCAATGTCCTCAGCCACTCGGGGCACACTCCAGCCTCCCACAGCAGCCACGCTGCGGGTACCTCAGCTCACTCCTCACCACTATTCTGGGAGCCTGAGGGAGCC